GTTGTAATACCAATGTTGTAGAAAGATTTTTAGAAATGTTTCATCATTTTCTGTTTTACCAAATAATTTGAGGAGTATTGGTGTTGGTTCTTTTTTAAAGATTTGGTAGAACTTTTCACTGAATCCAACTGGTCCTAGACTATCGTAGTTGAGAAATTTTTAATTACTTCTATCTCATTGGATATTATGGGTCTATTTGATTTATTTATTTCATCTTGATTTGGATTTGGCAAGTCATATATATCTAAACATGTATCTGTTTCTTTTAGATTTTTCAATTTGGTGGGTATGACTTTCTAGTCCATCCTCAATATTGTCCAAATTTCAGGCTGGGCAATGATGACACACAACTTTAATCCCAGCACTTGAGAGGCAGAGACAGATGGATCTCTGTGAGTTTGAGGTCAACTTGGTCTACAAAGTGAGTTCCATGACAGCTAGGAATACACAGAGAAACTGAGAAATGTTTATCTATATTTATCTATATATATATATGTATATATATATATATATATTTCATGCAATTACAACTATATATAGTTGTAATGCCTTGTATTTCATCTGCAGTTTGGTTCATCTCTCTCTTTTGGTTAATTTTGTTTAACATTTTTCCTTTTATGTATTTTTATTTTGTATGCATTTGTGATTTGCCTGCATGTATGTCTTCATGAATTATAGAATCCCTAGATCTGAAGTTACAGACAGTTTTGAGCTGCCATGTGATTGCTGATAATTGAATCTGGATCCTCTAGAAGAGCAAACAGTGCTCTTAACCACTGAGCAATCTCTCCAGCCCCTGAATTTTTTTTATCAATCTAGCAAATCTTTTCAACATAATAACTCTTCATTGATACTCTGCATTTTTGTTTGTTTGTTTTTACATTGCAAATTTATTTCAGGCTTGATTTTTATTATTTCTTTCTGTTTACTTTTTGTTGTTTGGTTTTTGAGAACATAATTGTCCAGGAATTTATTGTGTAGACCAGGCTGGCCTCAAACTCATAGATATCTACCTGTGTCTCTGACTCCCAAGTGCTAGGATTAAAAGCATTCACCACCATACTCAGCCTTCTTCCTATCTGCTTTTTATGGTATTATTTGTTCGTTTTTTGAATATTTTAGGTGTATCATTAATTTCTTAATTTTAGATCTCTAAAATTTTTGATATACACTAGCTCTCATAGTGCTGGAATATGCTATGTGGGCTATCAGAAGAGAAAAGTAATGATCAATATCACCCAGCTATAAATTCTGTAAGTTACAACAACAATTTGCCTGGCAAGACATATTAGCTGGTGCCACAGTGCATGAACATCACTGAAGTTGCAAACAACATTCTTTTTGGTTTAAGACCTGTTTCATGAGATAAATTGCATACTTGGCACCATTATCAGGTCAAGGCCCTGTGCCTAGACATATCATCAACCTTAGGGGAGAATCTTTTATCACTCTGCTAAATGGGCAAAGTATTTATTAACTCCAAATAAATTATCATGATGTCTATTGATTAATGCATCTCTCAACCCATATCAGAGAAACTCATATTTGCAGTAGATGATGATTAACACAGAGACCCACAGCTACTCAAGGCACAGAGCAAAAAGAGACAATGGTATGCTCAGCCATAAATAGGAGAGCTATATCTCAATGCTTCTTCCTAAGGCTAAGGGATCATTATGGAAGAGAGGACAGAACAAGACAGAGGTGATGGGTGACAAAAAGGAGACAGTGTCTCATGAACACAGCAAGGCAGCTGCACATGTCAGTTTAAAACATGCACGTGTCAGTTTAAAACAATTGTGACAACATTCACAAGACCCAGGTAAGTTTAAGCCTGCCAAATCATGGTATGGAGAGGGTACAAAGTTCCACCAATAGTTAAGAAACTACTGGCACTACTTATCTCCCCAGAGGAGGTGAGTTTTCTTTGAGAGTGTAGCTCCTAGTAAGTCAAACATAATCCAGAAGAAAGCCACACTTACAAGATATTTCTCAACCACCATCAAAGAAGTATCTGTTTACAGTAGATGGTGATGAACACCGAGGCTACAAAGGGCAAAGGTGCAAAGAATAAGAGTTCATCCCTAAATATTATGTACTGCACCCTTTCCTCAGAAGACTCAAGGATCATTGAAGAAGAGGAATCAGAAAGGGGGTAAGAGCCAGAGGTGGTGGATGACTACAAGGAAATGATATCTTCTGGGCACAGCATGGCAGATGCACATATGAACTCATAGAAAATGTGATAGTAAGCACAAGACCAGTGCAAACCAAAGACAAAAAAATCCTTGCATGGAGATGGAAGTTGGGCTTGAGGTAATACTCTGAAAGGAGGTGTTTATGGCAATTATTAGCTTCTGGATGAGGAACGGTCAATTTTCTCTAAGAGGGTAGGCCCTGATAAATTGACCAAGATTTATTAAAAGGTCACACAAAGAATACTTGATGAGCACAAATTGGCATTTGGGGAAAAATTATTAAAACAATGGTTAGGAATAAAAGGTGGATAGATGTGGGAAGAATTTGAGGAGGGAGATTAAATATGATCAAAAATGAGATAACTTTGTAGGGTTAGTGAGGTGATGGGCCATAGGAAAGAATCTACTACCTCTTGACCAGCATAATTCTTTACTACATTCTAAATCTTATCTGTGTAGATGTAGGTAAGTGTAGCTACCATCCCTTACTAAAAAGATCTCTTTTTACAGAATTTGGAGACCATTCTGGAAAGTCATTATTGGATATAATGCAGACACCAACAGATTTTGGGAATTCCAGCCTCAGCATAAACAAAAACATCACAACTTTGCATCTATGACTCAGTAATCAACACAGAAGTGGAAGCAGCAAGATTCTAAGAATTAGAATATCAAGAAGTCACCAATAAAACAGTCTCTCCTATAAATGACTACAAAACAAGACTGGAAAAATGGCAAAGTCAGATGTGCTAATGTGAAAAGGGAAAATTTTCATAGAGTCCTACCACTAGGCCGGCGACTCCAAACAACTAATGACTCCTGGATTAAGGATAATTATTCTCTCCAAAGCGTAAGCTCTATTATTTGCAGTCCATTTGCAGATTGGCAGCAATGAAATTATAGATATATATGATATCCAATAACAAACAGTACTCAAAAGGTTGTAAATGTATGTGTTCACTTACAGACATTTGCACAATAATAATTAAAGAAATAGAGGCTATCATTTTGAGAGTGGGAAAGGCATGAGAAAGAAACAAAGGAGGGTACCTGGGAAGGGACAGAAGGAAAGAGAATGGGTGGGAATCATACAATACTATTTCAATTAAAACATATTTTTAAACAAGAAAAAAACTGAAACCACTAATAAAAATTTTCTAAAAAATTGTATATGTCAAGCACAGATCAGGTTTGGTGGATATTAAATAAAGAGACAACACAAGGTAGGGTAGATAGTAAAGTAGGGGTGTATCTCAGAGGCATTTGTGGATGATCACAATCAATAAACATTGTATGATTCTGAATGCAGTAAATATTTTTTAAACAAATAGCAATACAATTTTGATAACATGCTATTGCAGACACAATAATTGATAAATATTTTATTACACTTGGCTAAGAAATGAAAGCCACAAATTACATCATTGTTACCCAGGACTATAAACATTGACTTATAAGAATCCTGTACTACTCAGTTAATTTGCCTAATTTCTATAGTCCAAGAAAATGAAAACAAATATTCTGATTGGGCTCTGTCACCATTATCAATAGCATTTATTCTGTGGTGGAATGATCCATAAAGAGAAATTACACTTATGGTAATGGAAATGCATAGTCAAGCAGCTCAACAGAAAATTAACATGAAATTCATTGTTTTTGACTTAAAAACGAAGAAAAATTTTAGATAGGATGTGATCAACATGACATACACACATACCAAGACTAAGATATAAGTGCATAAACCTACACTTACCATTGGTTTTCCTCAGTTCCTCCACAAGGCACTGTGCTTCCTCTTGAACACGGTCCTCAATGGTCCTTTTACCCATGCCCAAATTCCTCAGAGTCATGAGTGAGAAGCGTCTTATCTCTTTCCATCTGCTTCCATTGCTAAAAACAATGCCTAAAAAATGATAAAACACTAGACATAGATTCTAGGAACAGATGAGAGATCTGATGGGTGGAAACCATAGAGAGGTCCAACCTGTATCTAAGGAAGAAATCCAGACCCACTTTCAGTATTCACTTTCACTGTAAACACTGTGCAGCACTCACATGAACATGTACACTTACTTACCAAGGCCTTTATTAATTCTTTCAGCCATTGGGAAGTTTCCTCTTGCAGCAAACTCCTCCCCATGGTCAATCAGAGCTTCCTTCACTGCTTCATACCCATGCAACACCACAGCAGGCTTCATGCCCAAGTAGAGGGTGAACACAGGGCCATAGACTTTTGAAAGCTGGAAATGGGAAAGAAAAATGTAAATATTAACCAAAAAAGGTCACTTTAATCTCCATGGAGTCAACCTTATTCACACTGATATTATCATTTACTGTGTTTTAATAATTTTTTATTCTGGCAAAATCAGCTTCAAATGGTCCTGAAGCCTATTTATATCACATTATGGTGATGATAAGTTCTTGATCACCTACAGTGAACCATGTAATGGCTCAGAGCTCAGATTGTTGTTACACAAAGATTACAACAAATTTTTACATCAGAGCATTCATCAGAACACTATCCACCAGAACTCCATGTAGGCCACCCATCTGCCTAATGACTGCCACTCTCTCTTAGTGCCTGACAACCATACCCACAACCATCCCTCCTATTCTGCCCATTATTTCCCTGTCTCCCAATTCAGGCAGAATCACCCTGTTTCTGAGGCCAGTCCTCTCTGACCTACAGAAGTCCAGCCTACAGTTATGGAGACCCTCTACTCAAACATAGGACACTACAACAAGAAGAGTAGAGAAGAAACAGAAACCAAGAAACAAAACACCCATACTACTAAACCCATAATTCCATATTTACAGATTTTATGTTATACATCAAACTTCTGATGCCATATTTACAGGTTTAGAAAAACAACAGAGGACTTCATATGGGACCACAAAGAACCAAGAAGAGTAAAGGCACTCCTACGGAGTAAAATCATGGTTGGAAGTGTAACAATACCTGACCTCAAATTATATTATAGAGCTACAGTGATATAAATAGTCTGGTACTCACAAGAATATACAAGTAGACCAATGGAACAGATGAAATGATGTAGAAATA